CATTAGTAAACCCCAAAGAGTTTTTGGACAGTTAAAAAGTTGGTAAAAAATTTCATTCAGAAGTTTTGAGACCATCTGGACCCCTGGATCTCCCAAAGCTGGTAACCAAAGATGATGCCTTGTTTTCTGTCAAATTTGCACGTGGCAGACTGTGGTCGATCGTGATTACCTTTGTAATCATTTCAGTTTTTATTTACCAGTGCATTTTTTTTAAAACTTTGACCGACAAGCTGTGGCAGTCCAGTCCATCTTCCATTGATGCTGTTTTTTTTATTCTTCAGTCTAAAATGTATACTTGTGCGCATTGCAAGTGTGTTTGTTGCTTTTTACATTCAAACTAAAACAATTTGTTGTATGATATGAGACAGGACTCAAGAGCAACTTGTAGCCTCAAAGGATGCACGTCAAAGCTGCTCACCTGAAAACATAAAGTGGAGAGACAGAGTGTAAAAAAACAAAACAAAAACAAAAAAAAAAAGAAAAGAAACTGAAATAAATATAGTATTTAGGATCTGATAAATGTAGGACCAATAAACTGTTTTTATAACAGATTTCAATGTAGTCAGTTTTTCCCAAGGGCTGTAAAGTTACTGAGAGTTTACAGATTTTGAAACATTTCTGACAAAGTACAAAAAAATTAAAATTCAAATGATTTTTTTTAGGATCTGACATGTTTTTTGTCAACATCAAAAACTAAAAAAAAAAAAAAAAAACTGCAATAAAAATGTATAGCTTGTTTTTCACCATTAGACATTCTGTGCGTTAACACTATTTTATAAAGCATTACACCACAATCAGTTTGCATTATACAGCACCGGTAAAACTATTATGTTTTTCTTTGACTGTAACAGAAATGTTACATTCAGTTTCATGCATGTAACTAACACTAAGTAATGTGAAATGACAGTGATATTAAAGTATATTAAAATAATTTATTGTATTTTTTAAGTGTTCTTAGCCTTGCTCGAATTAGCCATTATCAAACGAAAACATTTATTTCTATACTGAGTTAATTTATATTAAAAAAACTGTCTGCAACAGGTAAGATATTTGTCACTCGTGAGTTTTTTTTTTTTTTTTTTACAAACCAAGGGTTGATTTTAAAATTCTCAAAAACACCCCTAAAACACAACAATGATTCACAACTAGAAAAAAAGCCCCTGAAAGCCTCAACGATCCACGTTTCTGTTTGAGCAGTTTCAGGCAGAACATCCACCTACAACCGACCCAAGACACAGACTTGACCTTGGGCAACATATGTAACTCAGGTGGTTTATCATCAACATGTTAACTTTATTTGAATTTGAAGTACAATGAAGAGATGATTTGAGAAGCTATATAAGTTATCAGTGACAACAGACCTAGACACTCCATTAAGAACAAAAGGAACAAACACATCCTGGACACAGGCCTCCACCGACTCCGACCCATCCTCTTCTTCTTGATTGTTAACACATAAGGTCAAAATTGTTTTGCAGTTAAAGGACTGACATCAGCTTATGACTAGAGAATATACACAGGTGTTTCAGCACCACAATTCAACAGTCTTTAGGAAAAAGTCAAATAAAAGGAAAGTTACTTTTTTATCATGAAACACTCGAGAACAAAAACAAGTGTATCTGTATAGGTTAACACATTATAATTAAATGTTTTAAAAGTTGCATCTTGTCTGATTGTTTCTCAAGCTGATAATAAGTAGACTGACGTGTAAAAAAATAATGACAGATGCTGAATTCTGTGTCTCATGACTAATAAAGGTACAGTAAAATCCAAGAAATATTCCCTCCTATACAAAGATTACAGTACTATCAACAGCCAAAAAAAGTCCTTATTTTCAAAGTGAAACATTGCTGATTATCGTTTCAAAATCATCTGGGCTTGAGTGAGCCAACCCTAGTATTTGTTCAGCACAATATAGAATTTATTAAATATTATAATTCCAGGACAAACATTTACATGCCTGCATGCTTTCTCACCAAAATGGCAGCTATAGGAAAGAATGATGGCTCAGAGATAGAACAAAACAAAACAGGAGGTTTATATAAATGGTGGTATTGGTTGCCTAATAGCTCTACCGCATCCACAATACCTTTGAACTTTATATACACATACCTTTTCAGTCCGCTCAGAGTCGACGGAGTGACTTTTTCTATCAATTACCTCTTGTATGTACAACAATGGTAAAAATGAAACTTGATTGTATTCTCATCTAATTTAGAAAACATGAAAATCAAACATCAGTCTTTTGTCTTTTTTTTTTTTTTTGATGACCAGCATGAGGTTCATCTCCACACGTCATCCCCCCCGGAATTTATTTTGAAATACAAAACAAAACTTCAGTCGAATTTCTATTTCAAAGCTTTCTCGCTGGCTGAGATACAGTATAAAAAAATCTTCAGTGCTGTGATTTTCAGGAGTTATTACCAACAATGCACCTTGGGTACATATCCTTTTTGTTTTTTTTTTACTGTGCTCGTTTTTTATGTTTATCCGTCACGTCGGCCAACATGTCACGTCTAAACCTGTTTTGTCAAAATGTTTTATGTTGGCCTGCGTGATTAAAAAAAGACTTATTCTACATTCGGACTCCTCCAGCATTTCCACCTACAAGCAGCTTGACTTCTCTTCAGCTAAATCAGCCTGGCTGAGGCCTCCTCAGAAACTTCATGGGTTTTCCTTTCTGTCCTTTTTTTTATCGTTTTTGTTTTCCTCCAGCTCCTCGCAGCCTTATCAGTACATCACTGTAGTTTTCAGGAACAGTCTTCCATCTGGAACAGAGAACACACACACACAGAAAAGAGCAAAAGATTAGCCAACAGCTAACAATCTGCTGACGCAACTGCACTATTCAGGATGTGATTGTTGATGAAACGTAACTTTGAAATATTGCCCTCTAGTCTTTCTATCTGAACGCCATTAATGTGAATTCATAAAGCTGATTTAGGAATAAGATAAAGTTAGCAGCCATGACAAAAATTGTTAAATATCATGTAGTGCATACTCACAAAAAAAAACCTTGTTGCATGAACAAAAAAAACTGGACTCTTTTTTCACTATCTCTAAATAAATCAGTAATGTTGTTGAAATGGAATACATCTGGGCTGGGTCATCACAGTCTTATAAGAGCCAATCAATTCATTTTTTTTTCTGGAATTGAGAATGAATTTAAAGGAGACATATCGTGCTTTGAAATCCTCTTTCACATTTAAATGATTCACTTGGGGTCTATAAAATGGAACTGCAATGCTATGGTCTGAACTCCACAAGCCCCTCTTTCACCGCTTTTCTTGAGATAACGAGTTAATTTCCCGATGGTTTTCTCGAGATAACGAGTTATGGTTTTCCGCTTGTGCATCATTCGGTAACCATGAAAACGGCTTGGTCCCCTCAGCTGGTCACCGATGAAGTTTACTTAATCATAACACAGGCTGAAAGTGCAGTTTGTTTGTCTTGTACAGATGATTAAATAATCTCATTAGGAGAACAGATGGACGGACCGATGGCTGGACGGATAGGGGGCTAAATGTGTTGACCAGGTCTCCCTGATGATGCACACAAAATGTGGTGCAGATTGATTCATGTATGTGTGATTAAGAGCAAACAGTGTGCAAAGAGGGTGGGGCTAAAGTGATCTCATCAAATTAACACATTAATGTGTYTAGCTAACACATTCTCACTCCCAACTCGTCACATATTGACACTTTTCCAAGGTTCTCTCTGCATCATATTTTACGCCACGGGTGTACCCGTCGCGTCAGTAAATGACACACCAGACATTTCCGTGTTCCCTCTGCGTCCATGTTTGACGCGTTGGGACGCAAAATATAGGAGTCTTTGAGTTGGGGCCTGTGGTTAATGTTATGGATCAGGGTTCATGGTTAATTTCAGGTAGTGGGGTCAGGGATAGGATGTCTAGGGCGAATATTAGGTAATTTTAGGCTTTGGGACACGTAGYTGACGTGAATTTCCTACACTTTCTAAAAATGGTTAATTTTAGGTACTAGGGTTAGGGACAGGATGTCTAGAGTGAATAAGGTCGTATTCACACCTAATAGTCCGGTAGACTCGGTTCGATTGGGGACCAAAACTGCAAGCTTTGTTTACATTTTCTGTTGGTGCAGTTTGAATTCACACTGCACTTTCTCAATTGAACTAAACCCTGTAAACAACCTGTTCCCGCCCTCACCTGTGGGGGCGCTGCACAAAGAAACACTAAAGTAATCAACATGCAAACCTCAGAAGAAGACATGGAGCGCAACTTCCTTCTTAACAAAATGTAAACAAACAATAGTAATGTTACATTTTAGTGGTTATAGGGTTTATTTTTTGTTTTTGGCAAATGTGCTAAACAAATAGTCTTCAACAATGAGCTCAGCATGAGAGGAAGATGAGGCGGAACCACGGAGAATGTTGTTTTGCACACAAGGCGGCTGAGGAAGCTCCGTGTTAATCGAGTAGAAACGCGTCCAGCTCCACAGTCATGATGTCCACCTTATACAGTCGTCCAAGCGAGGTATTTACACCATATAAGTAAATTTAATACCGTTATTACTCAGAATGTATAGTCYGCTTCCTGCTTTTGGAGCGGTCTCTGGTCCGCTTGGCGTTCACACATGCAATCGAACCGCACCAGAGTTCGTTTCAATCGAACCGAGACCTAGGTTTTCAGGTGGACCAGAGTTCGCTCTTTTGGTCTGAATCAGAGTTCGATTACGCATTCACACCTCCATAAACGAACCGGACTTTCCAGGCAAACGAACTAGAGTTCGATTAAATTGGACTAAACAGTGCAGGTGTGAACACACCCTAAAGGCAATTTTAGGTGTTGGGACGGTTAGTTTTTGTGCATTGTCTACACTTTTTGAAATTATGACAACGGATTCCGCCCCATCTCGTCAATAATTGATGCGCAGGGTGTACCCGACGCGTCAAAATCAGACGCAGAGGGAACCTTGGAAAACTGTCAATATGCAATGACTCGGAAGTGAGAATGGGTTGGTTTAGCAGGTGTCCCCAATGATGCACACACACACACAGTTGGCGCACATCTATTATTATTTTTTTCAATACATTTTTTTATTAATTTAATTTAAAAAATCCTATATACAATAAAAATACAAATCACAAGTAAAATAAAAGGCAGCGGAAAGAAAAAAAAACTTATATCTGCCCCTATTTTCCAAAAATAAGTTCAAAAATAATAATGTTTTGGTAACAAAACAAAACTTTAACTCCATCACGAGCAACAGCTCCTATGAAAACATATTAAACTATTTCATATTTCTTTAACAAACTAACTTTTACCATGCTCTTAAACAAACACATTGAACCAGCATTTTTATAATCATGTTCTATTCCACAATATTATTCCTTGGACCGAAGTACATCGGTCCTTGAAATTTGTTCAAATTTAGGTTTTACAAACATCTCTAGTCCCTTAAGATTGTAATATGTTTCCCTCTTTACAAATTTTTATTAGATGTTTAAAGATAATACATTTTATGAGCCTTATACATAACTTGCAAAATATAATAATCAACCAACTCATAAAATTTCAATAATTTCAACTGATAAATATATATGATGGGTGACTGTAGTGTTAGTGATAATTCTTATAGCTCTTTTCTGTAAAATAAAATAGGATTTGTATTTGTGTTTCCCATTGGGAAATTACATCTGTAACAGGCCGTCACTCTGGTCAGAATTAATCTCAGTTTTAACAAACGGATGTCATTCAAAAGCTATCCACAACAGGTAAGATATTAACTCCTGATACTATTTCCACAGGACCCCACTTCAAAAGATCTGAACAACTGCTTTAACAAACCGAAACKAAATATATTTCAGGTTTGYAAAACTTCTTTCTTTATAGTTATAATAAATTAAACCKGTCCCTTGGTGGTTTATTTGAAGGTAATTATGACCCCTGCACGTGAAGCGGGGATCATATTATTTATTTATTTATTTATTTATTTATTTATTTATTTTTAAAGATTTTTGGTCAACCATAGCATGGAAACAGCTGCACCAATCAATGTGAAATTTGGCAGGAAAGTAGATGTGTTTGACCTACACCATCCAACGTTTTTATAACAGATCCAATATTTGAGAAGAGGGCTTCATCTAAAAAAGGGGGGTGTCTGAACATGTAATTTAGCTCGCTATCCATCAAGCCCCCCCAATTCTGAGGACTTCTGAGTTTTGGTGAATTGGTGCTTTGCATATGTGTGGGGGTCATATATGCTAGTGCTATGTGGTATCAAGTTATCTTTACTTTAAAAAATTTGAAAGCATAAAACAAAGTAGTTTAACGATCCGACTTGAGCTCATTTTCAGGACATCTGTCAGGAAGATAATCACACTTTTACCTTCAGGTTCTATCACAACCAAGCACACCATATAAAAGCAGCAAYGATAAGCACATTAAGGCATCCAGAGCTGAAGGCCACGCGTGTTCAGGATTCCTCTGCTGACGCGCTTGTTCGGGCATAATACTGCGCTCAAGACGAAAAGCACTTCTCTAAGTGATATTTCCTGTGTGGAAATGGTGGATRTTGAAAATGGCACGCGTTGCTCTGTTTGGTTATCCACAGACACCTCCAGCCCTAACGAGCTCTGTCCACTGCCAGGCGAGCGCTGCGTGTCTGAGTGTTCGCCTGAGCGAGCAGCGGCRCTCCGACGCCGAGCTGGTAAAAGCATCTGTTAGGCACAGCTCAGGAGCCGGTTTGACGTTTCTTACCTTTGCCCCCCCCCCCCTTTTTTTTCTCCTGTCTTTCTTCACTCTGCTACAGTAATGTCTTTAAGAAGAACACCACTTCTGTGGCAGCGAGCCTGAACATCTCAAAGTTCAAAAGGAACCTACACGAAGACATTTAGCAGAAGCGGTGGTTGGACATGACACGAGCAGAGTGGGAGTGATTACACCAGGTTACAACGTCTTGATGTGCCTGTACTTCTGTCGAGAGCCATCTTAGCATCAGGTTCATTTCTATTATTTAAAAAAACAAAACAAAACAAAAAAAAAACAGGATTAGCTTCCTCAGTTTATAATCTACACATTTACATGACAAACATTTTGTCATTTGTTCCTGTTTAACCTTTCAGGCTGTGTTTATGCATTGCACACAGACAGAGTAGACAACAAAAGCTTGTGTGTGTGTGTGTGTGTGTAAGAGTAAGGGAGTGAATTTGTGTACAATACGTGGGGGGTGGAGAAGGGGGGGGGTGTCTACAAACACAGGCTAATTACCCGGCACTGCCGTAGGTCTCGGAGGCATTGCACTCTGGCGCTGCCTCTATTCAAGCAACAACCATCGAGTTGTGCGTAAAAGTCATTCCAGCATGAATGTGGCAGCATGAAAGAACAAAATGCAAAAATACAAAAACAAATGTCTCTAAACATAAACATGTTTAGGGATGTGGGCCACAACTTTACGCACATCCCTGTTCTGACAAGAGAGGACACCATGTTGTTGCCTCGTCAGAGTCGGGACAGTTAATTTGGGTGTTAATGAAAACAAAGACCATCTGATTGTTCGATGGACGATGACAGCGAAGGCATCATCGAGAGGCGAGTAAATATCGACGCGTTTGACTTCTAATGGATTCAATTCAGCAACAGGGAGGGCTCCGATGAGCCGCTCTCACCGGGTTCCGTCCCAGTCTGTGTCCAAACATCTGCTTTCTGCACGCAGCTGGAAAACCCGGTGACGTCTCGACGCTCCGCTTTCTGGAAGCCTCTCATTAAAATATGGCAAAACTTCAGTATTTCTACATTCAAATTAAGATGAAAAGTTCATTAAAGAGAATAAATATTTCATTAGATGCTAAATAAAACAAAGGGGATTTTTTTTCTCTTTTTTTGGCCTCTCTCAGCATAAAATTCCTTTGAAAGATTAATTAATACATGTAAATTATGCAAATTATGCCCATGCAAATATTTTATGAAGACAATTAAGGGATCCATTAATTACAGTCTTTTTTGCTTCAGTGACATTCGTTCATTTAATTTTAATTTCACTTTAGCTGTTTTGATGTTTAATCTTGCAACAAAAGAACTTTATCTGCGCGAGTGCAGGGTCGTGTAAACTCGCCGAACATGTCGAGCGGGGAAGGAAGCGGAGGGGGGAGATACCGGGGGAAGATATTCACACGCGCACCGCTGCTGCCAGGCTGGCAGTACCGGTAACGGTACGGGGGCCCCGGCAGCTCGCCTGCCTGTGAAAAGAGCCACGTTCCCTCTTGGACTCGATTCAAAACACTGTAGAAGCAATTAATAAACACAGACTGTGTTAATATCGCAGAATTAGAGAAGTGTGACAAAAGACAAATAGAAATAATTAGTTCTCTAAAATTATGCCCCTCATTATTATTTTTTTCTTCCTTCTTCCCTCTCTCCAATTTGCCTCCCTGAGTTTGGAGTTGAGAACGCACCCACACATTTCTTCTCGGCTTTCTCAGCTTTGATAGGTTTGGTTTATTTTTTTCTTTCTTTTCTTTCCCTCCTCCTTCTTTTTCTGCTTGTGTAATTTATCAACATCATTTTTTGCCATTTGAGGTTAATTATACAGCGAGGCTTGCAGAGCAGAGTAGAGGAGACATGGGTGGCAGACAAATGCTTCTCTAATTGAACAAAACACACACACACACACAGACACACACACGCACGCACGCACGCACACACACACACACACACACACAC